AAAAAAAATATATTAAAAAAAAAGAAAAAAAAAGAAGTAAAAAAAAATTGAATTGTTTTGTTTAAGTTTTTATCTTTGTTCGGGACGAACAAAGAATTAAGTGTGGGGAAGTTGTTAGTGTTATTTTTGTTATGTTTTTATTAATATTTTTTTATTATTATTATTATGTATTTTTAATAATTTTGTGGAATTTAGGGTAGTTTTTAGTTTTTTAAGTAATTTGTAATATTTAAGTATTTGTGTGGATTTTTGTATATTTTTCTTGTATTTTTCGAGTATTTGTAAAATAAAGAAACGGTCGAAAATCTCGGAAGAGCAAGATTTTGAAAAGTTATTGCGCATGATCACATTAATGGAAAGAGGAGCTCGTTAGCTACACACAGAAAAAAGCGGAACTCGATTTCGAGTTCGGATGAGTTCGTACGGGACCGAAGCGTAAAATCGAGCGAGTTGCCGACACCTTAGAAGCTAAAAATCCTTAAATAATTGTATTTTAAGTGAAATTTGTATTGGCATACATTAAATAGAGGGGTTCGTTAGCGACGCGTAGAAAAAAATGGAACTCAATTCCGAGTTCAGACGAGCCCAAAACGAGCCCGAGAAGCAAAGCTGCCCGAGACGTGCGCGAATGCGCGCGGAAAAATTCACTCTCGGATTTTGTCCAAAAATTCCAACCTTTCTCTCATTTTTCCTACCTTCTTTCACCTTTTCTTGCATTTTTCTTGGTGGTTGAATTATTGTTGAACTTTGGTTGATGTTAGTTGATGTTAGTAAGCTATTTATATCTATAAATAGCAACATTATCATGAAAGAAAAGGGAAGGAAAAAAAAAAATCCAATATAATCTAAAATCACATATCTTTCCATCTTTCTTTTACTACCATTTGTAAGTTTGTATTTTTAAGTTTGTAAGTTTGAAGATTGTTGAAGTGTTGGGACATTAAGTTTGCTCTAGCTTGTGGATTACTAGTAAGTTTTTTTTATTTTATGTTTATAATGGTTTATTTACATAAGAATTTATATGTTAAAATTACTATGAGTAACTAATCTCCTAACTAGGGTTAGGGGATAATCGTTTCGGTTTATTACTATTTATAAGTATTTTTATTACTCAATCTTTACAAATTTTATTAATATTATGGTTAAATGATTGATCACCATTTTAATCTACATAATCGATTTCATAACCGAGAGGGGCGAAGTTGATAGAACTTGATTTGTTTAGAATAGACATGTTCGGAAACGTATTGTTTATGTGTTAACCGTTTCACTAATTCACTTGTTTACGTTTATTCATATATTACGAGAGTTAGTATGGATGAACCTCTAAATGAGTAAATTAAGAGAATCGTTTAACCGAGTAATTTAATTACCAATAAATGTTAATAAAACCGGAATTGATTATCCCCAATACCCTAGACTTTACATTTATTAAAACTTATATTTATCATTTTAGTTATTCTCTTTTCTTTCTTAAAACTTTAGTGTTTGAAAGTATTTAACTAGTAGAACAATTTATTTGTTTGAAAGTTTTTACTAGTAGAACAATTTATAGTTTGAAAGTATTTAACTAGTAGAACAATTTATTTGTTTGAAAGTTGTTACAAGTAGAACATCCTTTTAGTTTGAAAGTATTTACGAGTAAAACGATTTTATCGTTAGAAAGCATTTACTAGTAAAACAACTTTATCATTTGAAAGGTTTTCCGAGTAAAATGATAGCATTTATGTTATTTTTAATTTAGTTTAAAACCCCCATTATTAAATTGAATTAGAATGTTTAGGAATTTTTTTTTTTTCTTTTGTGAATTGAATAAACATACAATTTAATCCGGCTAACCTTCCTTAGAGAACGACCCGAGTCGGGTAACTCGGTTATTACTTGCCCAAAAATATTACAAACACGAACCCCCGGAAAACGTACCACCATAGCTCACGCATACTCTAACACTGGTGCTAGCCATTCAAATAAGTGAACAACAAAAGGAATTAAAACGAAAGAAACAGAAAATTGCAGTAGAGAAGAATGGTGCAGACGTTGATTTGTTAGAGATCACTGTTTTTTTGCCTGCATGATAAATGCACAGATAAAATCCTCACCTGTAAAAAAGCAGTCAATTAATGAGGTGCGTAACTTATGCGACAGATATGCGATCAAATTCCGAATAGTCGTAAAATTGCCATGCGAAAAAATGGCGCGTAATCGCAATTAAATTAAATTATGCTTTATTCGATTTTGTTATGCGATTCTTCAATATGGGTGAAAGAAAATGTCGCATAATTGTCACTTATCCGACGGATATATGCGAAAGTTTTTCGCATACTAGAAAATTATGCGATTGTCTGG